TCCCTGCGGAACCTGGCAATATTCCCGTAACCATCAATCACGAAAGATCCTTACGACATGCATGAAATTCTCCTTCCCTAGGAGCAGGCTGTGGGTAACGCATGCTTAACTCCCCCAAATCCCAAACACAGCTCCTATTGTAGCTGAATAATCAATATATCCCACAGAATCTCTAATCTTCCAGACTGGATACTTTGCAGGAATTGGCAGGATTTGACCTCTGTAGATTCTTTAAAACTGGCTGAATATATAAACAATAAATTTTTAAAAATTCCCCAGACCCTACAAAGTTTTTTTTAATATGTCCATCAGCAAATGGTTACTGGAATGTAAATTAGTTAATCTCTCTCTTACACACACACAAACACTCAGACAGCCACTCCCTCTCTAAAGTCTTCTCAATTTTGTATCTCTGAACTATCACAAACACTGAAAGAGAAAAAAAAAAAACACAAGAGAAACTGCTTTAACCATGGCCTGTTTGCATTACGTATATATAGGCAGATCTCTGTTGGTGCAGCACAGAATGGAGCCATAAAATCTCAGCCCTCCCCCAGTCATATGTCCAGATGTGACAGAACAGCTGGCTTCAAGTTCTTTGGGCTTGACCTTCCCATCTAGAGAATATGGTAAATAATGACATAAAGCTAGATATTTATCAAATGCAGCAGTTTTTAAGTGTGATCACTTACCTTTTCATATTGCTCTTTATCTTGAACAGAACACATTTATATACTTAAAGAGCATTTGCTTGAGACAGCCTCAGTATTATTTATGGATATTTTATTGTGGCAACTACATTATTTCTCTTACTCTTAGCTCTGGAAGAAACTGTCCTGTAACAGCAGGACAGTTAGGGGTTAGTGGTCCACATTTTTGCCTGTCTCAATTTTTTTCACAGCAGCAAGAAGAAAAATATATCTTGCCTGTTTCTTTTGCCACAGGAAATGAGGTATCCAGCAACCCCTTACGTTGGGACTAGGAATTATGCCTTGGTAAAACATGTTCAATACGTGAACTGACTGGCACTGTAGTAGAAAGCTCTTGATTGCATTACAGATTCAACCTTGTCTTACAACACACAGAGACACAATTCCCATGGAAATCAAGGGAAAGGGTGCATGAGAGGGCTGAACTGGGCTCTCTGGGAACAAATACACTTCCACTGTAGCAGAGGAACTCCAGAGGTCCACTTATGTTTGATTTGTACTAAGGAAACAGGGAAAAAAATTATTCAAATAAAAAAACCTGCAGTAATGTAAATATTTTAGGAGAGAGCAGATTAAGAAAAGAAGGAATATTTCTTCATTTAGACCACACAGACTATTTACTTTCTTTAATATTCAGTATCATTTAATCTGTGGCCTGAAGAAAATCAAACTAGTTTAAAAATCCATTGTTAACTGACAAAAGAGTGGAAAGAGGAGGGAGAAACAGGGTGCAGCCTATGGCAGTTTTCTGGAAACGCAAAAGAAGTGTTCACCTAGACTTCCAGACTCGATTCCTGCCTACTCTAGCTGGACCCTTGTCAGAGGCCCAGAGCAAAAGGACAAAGGGACAACTGCCACAAGTTGCATCAAGGGATGTTCCAATCAGATACAAGGACAAAACATTTCCACAGTACACGTGGGCAAACACTGGAACAGAGGCTGTGGAAAATGCGTACCCGAAGCCATCCAAAACTCAACTAGTTAAGGTCCTAAACGGTCTGATCTCACTCTGAAGCCTTTTTTCTTGGAGCAGGAGGACATGGTGACTCACAAGAGCCCTTTCCACCTGAACTAATTCCATGATTGTATCATCTGTTCCAAGCAAAGTCTTTAGTTAAAACCAAACACACTGGCAACACCTTGCTGAGGTCAAGGGCAATTCTTCTTCTTCTGCTTAACAGAGCACTGATAAGTGGCTGACCATCCTGCAACAAGATTCCCTCTTACCACAAAAGCCATTAATTAGCATCGTTGTCCACTTTCTGCTTACTTGCTCTCTTTGACAGCCAAGTCTGATGGCTGACAAAGGTGATTTTCAATGGCAAAACACAGTTATTTATTGGAGATTTTTTTGGTTTCATTTCACTGCACGCAACTCAGAAGCTCAAGTTCATTTAGTCATTAACCACACAAAATAAAGATTCTTCAAACAGCCTCCGAGTACCTCAGACAAGCGAGTGGTGAGACTTACTTTGTGCGAAGGCTTCCTGCACATCTCCTCCCACCCCGGTCAGAGAGTCCTGAGGTGCGTGGGTCGGGGTGGAGCAGGCAGAGGCAGACCTGATGGGCATTGGAATTGGTCGACTGATAGTGTGGCTGGGCGAGGAACGCGGGGAGCCCGCCCCTTGGGTCTGCAAAACAATCACCAGAGGTTACACAGGTCCTTGCAAGAGCCCTCGCCTGGTGTCCTCGTCACCCATCCCTCAGTTAAAGACATCATGCTGTTCATAGCTCAGTTGGGTAATGTTAATTTTGCTAAAAGAAACACACTGAAGTCAGTGGTTAGCAGAGAGCAACGCTTCTGTGTAGAAAAACAGTAAGTAGGAAAAAATGAGTCTAGATCTAACTTCCTTTAAGCATGGGAAAATGTCAGGCAGCTAAATTAAAAGAAAATCCAAGTTAATAAACATCAAAGTATAGACCTTCTCTCTGCCCTCTTCCCCTTCTCACTCCACATGCATGTTGGATAAAACATAACCCATTCAGGCTGGGAGAAGGGGAAAGATGCTGGCACCGAGGTGGCATTTCAGCTCGGGCAAGGGACTGGAACAGCCCCTTCCATCGGAGCACTGCCGTGAGAGCTGATCACAGCCCTGCCCTCCGCCTCCCCGCAGGAGAGGGTCACGGTGCAGGCAACCCCTCCGGCACATAAAGTCTGACGCTCGCAATAAATAATACAGCTTTATGCTTTTTATTCGGAGCTATAGAACTATTTTAAGCCACTATTAAATCATACACTATTAAATTGTTCGCTGTATGGGACATACTCAGGCACTCCCAAAACACTGTGGAGATCAGGCAATATAAATTTCTGCTATGGGTTCAGCTGCTGGGAGTGAAAATGTTTTAACACCAGTCATATAAAATGCCATGCTGTTAGCACCTCACAGTTAGTATCACTTAGCTGAAATTCAAGCAGACTTTACAAAATAGTAATTTTTACAAACGCAGCTGGGTGAGTGACACCAAGAGACACAGTGCCCTTTTCATCCACTGTTTCAAAACCTGTGGGAATGTGTAGCCACGTAAGGAAAAACAAATGCTGGAGCCCACACCAAACTGCACACGGCTATGGACTAAGAACCTGCTTTTGGTAGATGCCAAGGACGGAGGGGGCTTGAGAGCTGTTAAGGGGGAACTCCAACACATACCCCTGCTGTTTACAGGGAAAAGTAACCCGAGGGCTGGTGTTTCCCTCACTCTGGGTTTATTTTGAGAATTCAGAAGGATCTCTTAACTCTTCTCATGCCATTTCTTTTGGGCTGCCACTACAGCCCTGATACAGTTTGGCAAATACGTTCTAAAAAAGACAATAGCAGCTCACCGCAGAAGGAGTGCAGCATTGCCCTTGAGATTTTTATAAATTCCTGTCCCGGACCATAAATAATGTATCAGAACACTAAGCTATTTGTTCTCTTCTCCTATCACTCCTTTCCAAGAGACATTATCGCCAGAGAGACATCAAGGGCAAATTAGGTTTATGAGGAATAACCACATTACTGATGAGAGAACGGAGGATTTAATACTCAGAATATCTTTAATGATCAGTTTTAGAACATTTAAATGATGGATGAAAGGGAAGTCACATATATAAGAGCCAGATGCTCTCCTGTTTCTGGAATCATCTGTACCCACTGCAGTGGAAATGTAGATCCCTAGTCTTCCAGAGGCAGGACACAGAGCAACCTGGAGATGCTCCAAGGTCCTTGGAGGTCACATACCCTGCACATCAGGCAGCTACAGCTATCTTCTTTCATGGCCCAACAGGGCATGTTTCACCCTCTGTGAAGCAAATTTGTGAAATAATTTCTGGTTCCCAGGTCCCTCTTTTGCTCGCCCTTTTTCCTCAGCTCCCCTTTGCCTTTGCTCTCAGTTCTGGGGAACATCAACAACAGTGGGATCTTTCAGAGAAGATGAGGAAAAAAAAATGGACAAAATTTGCTTCTTATAGCCAAGTCATATTCAAGGAATGAGCTTCAAAATAGGCATTTTATTTACTAAAAATAACAGATGCCTGCCAGTATTTCTTCACTGGAATTTTCCCACAAGAGAAATGTAAAAGCTGCTGCACACCAGTGCTTAACCTTGTGTCTGCTTTGCAGTTATGACTGGGATCTTGTGTTTATGACAAACAGTGCTCTCTTATCAGTAGTTTTCAGTGTTGGAACAAACTGTTTGGGAAGTACAGGGAGACGAAGCATTTAGAGTCCCCTGTCCAGTAAAAAAACCCTCTCTTTTTATACCATTTGGGCAGTGTCAGACAGAACTGGCAAACAGCAAGTTGAAATAGGAGGCTATTAGGGAATGCCTGATTACAGAGAGGTGAACACTTTAATTATATTTTACTCATCTAGATCCAACTCAGCCCAAATTTGTGGAAATAGAGTGCTATAAAGACTGGATTGCTGCTTAGTGGTTATCAGGAGAAATGTTCTCATAGGCTACATCTAACAGCCTGAAACCTGCTATGATAATCAGCAGTGGGTTCTTGGTAACCTCAGCAGAGAAACCGAGCACCAAATTGCTCCCAAACCTCAGCAGCCCCATTAGCTGAGGGCTAAGGCAGGGAAAGGGGAGCTGCCACAGCTACCATGTGTATGACTTCAGCTCTTATGCTGTGCTTAGTTGCAGCTATCTATGTTCTCGTGCCTTCTAAAAAACTTCCATATATTTTATTTAATTCATCATCCCTAGTCAACCTGCTATGCATTTTAAGTTAATCCTTGTTAGACAGGGAAAGATTCCCCATGACCAAATGTCATGTGCGTACTGGAACAGGCTGCCCAGGGAAGTGGTGGAGTCACTATCCCTGGAGGTGTTCAAGGAGCCTGTAGACGTGGCGCTTGAGGAGTTGGTCTAATGGGTACGGTAGTGTTGGGTTGGTGGTTGGACTAGATCACCTTACAGGTCTTTTCCAGCCTTGGTGATTCTGTGATTCTCTGTGCTTAGGATAAAGGGCTTGAAATGAAAACTGGCTTTACAGGAACTTTAGCCCATTGCTCCCTCTGCTGGAACTGAGCTGGAATAACATACGGGGAAAGCCCATCTCGGGCTGTGAAGAACTCTCTATCCTTTCTCAAGGAAGGGTAGTAGAGAAATAGAAAATTCATAACCATTAGGTGAATTGCCAGGCTGCTCATTCTAACTGAATTCCTCCAGAAATTAATTTAACCCCATTTCTCTCAACAGATCATGAAATGGCATAGTGTAATGGGGATCATTTCATGGAAAAAGTGGAAGTAATTCCTTAGTGTCATCATCTGGTATTCAGGGAGGCTATTGCTCTCGGAGAGAAAAAAATCATAGCCCGAAAATGTGCTTCCAATTACACTGTCCAGTGAACATTTCATATGGTAGGGAAACTCCTGTCACTTCTCTTTTACGAACGGAAGATCTCTTAATGCTCTTACTCAGAATCAAAAAGATGGCTCTTACACAGAGGTGATGTTTGGTCAGGCATTTTTTTGGTGCGACATACTGATACTCTGAATTATCCAAAATGTTAGTTTTATGAAGGTGAGCATTACCTACGAACTCTGCATGCTCTACCATAGACAGAACACATCAGACTTGACTTCTGACGAAACCAAAAGGAAGCGTGTTTTGTTAAAATGAAACACTTTTATTGCACTAATAAATCAGACTGCTGCCTGAAAAGTGCTTTTTTTAGCCTAATATCTTTCCAAGATCCATTTCAATACTAAAAAGCTCTGAAACAGTTACATTTCCTAAAATTTACTATTAGCAATGCAAATACTTGCCCTTCTGGATCTAGGTTGCAGAAGTCATTTTGAAACCACCTTATTTCCCTGAAGACTCACAAGGCTATTAGTATCAGTACCAACTTTAAAAGATGTGCACACAATGCCCTGACGTTTTCTCCATAAAGCGAGATTTCAAACTCATTGCCCCGGTCTAATTTAAACTGAGTCACATTTTTCTTAAAGTTCCAGAATTCTCATTGCATTTTCAAAATGTTATCTATGGTAAAAGTGTTCTTTAACTCACATTCTAGGTTAGTTTCACTACATTTTGTGTTTTCCCTATCTTATGTGTCTTATTTAGAGGAGTGAGAAAAAGATCAAGACTCCTTGTAGCCATGACTCACTTTCTGGAGGACTAAGGTGTTTAATTGTGAAAATTGCTCGAAGACACTTGAAAATAGCGTGTGAAAGAACTGCAAAATATTAATTTTGGTCAAAAGAACACAGACAGATTTCAAGCAAAGGAAGGTAAACAAATCACAGGAACACAATCACGTTTAGAGTTAGTGAGGCCTCCAATAAGAGGGCAACTTACTACCTGTTTCAGTTCTTCTTCCTGAAGAAAAAGAGGATCAGCACATGACATTAGCCAGGATGTAAGTGAAGAACAGAAAACAAAGCCAAATCTGGAGTACAGGGTTAAAGTCAAGATAGCTGAAGGTATCTGACCAGGTTATGGTCCCACCTCTGCATACTTTGAAACACCAGAAAAGTGCAAAGCATGCAGAAAGCTACTATCATTTCCTACCCCAGATTCTTTTTGTCCAGGCACAGCGACGACAGCAGGCAGTCCTGACTGCCTGTTGTAGCACTGCAGCATTTCGTAGGCAGAGGGATAAAACATCCTGTCTACCGCCAGCTCCCAAAAATCTGCTGGCTACTGGGTGGGCTCTGCTGCTCAGGTGCCACCGATTCCTGCATGGTGGCTGCAGACGCCTGTGCCTGAGGAGATGCAAGGGGTCAAACTCAGCCTTTGATGCAAATACATGCTGCTAAATGGATTTCTGCGGAATTCTTTCTGCTTTTATCAGAGCCATGTTTGACCCAAGTTGCAATGAATTTCCCTGCACTCATTTTATCTGGCATGGCCAGCAACAAAACAGACTCTCATGCTATGCAGAGCGCTTTCTTCCAACGTGCATTTCTCGCCTCATGCGTCCTGAGGCAGAGCAGGTAACACAGGGCTGGACTCTGCAAATGAAGACACATCTTCCACCTTACCCTGTTCTGTCCAGAAAATACACATGCTTTTTGACATCTCCATTTTTTAACTGAGATCCTTTGTTGAGGCATGCTTCACCTGTTTAACAAGGGCTTGTTTCTGTCTTTATGAAAATGACCGAGTGTTGTTGAGGGAAGCATCTCTAAGATCAGGGAGTTAGATGTGGTGGTCAAATGGCACATCGGACAGGACTACCAACCAGACGGGCAAAGATAAAGGAACTACCAAAACCAATTCTGTACTGTCAGCTAGAGTAGATAACAGTGTACAGTGCTGAGTTGCTTTTTCCTCACACTTATTAGTTAACTGGTTTTACGAGTTGTTTTGTTTCTTACTCTTCTGTTTTTGTCCTCAACAGAGAAAACTTTAAAAAACATCTGAACCTGGACCATAAAATACTTTGTGTTCGGACATTGTTGAATGGCCAATACAGAGATTGCTAGCCTGAAATTCAGGGATGCAGCCAAATCCTTCTGCAAAAACCACCAAAACGGGATTGTATTGCATCATGCCGCAATATTATTTAAAGGATTGTATCACTTCTTCAAGACCTCAGAGGCTGTCTCTGATGTTCCATCCACTGAGCAGTAGGTGACAATGATGACGCGCTGTTACTGCAGGAACAACATCATTTGAAACCCCCGTGAAAGATCACGGCGAAAAATAGAAAGGGAAGGAAACAAAGCCAAATTTTATGGGTGTAAATAGTCAAGTTCTGCAGCGTTCTATGGTCATATCTCTTCTCTTACTTCACTCTGCCTGTTCTCCTTGGTATTATTAGGTGGAGTTCCTTACCTTCAGCAGTTTCATGAGGCCCTCTAACTGAACCATAAGCTCCCTCCGGCTTTCCTGGAGAGCAGACATCCTCTGTTCCAGCTCATCTTTCCTCTGTCTGAGAAACAAGCAGATCTGATCAGAGCTCACCCCTCACAACATCAGCAGCCTTTAACTGCATCGTTTCCCCAGCCAGGCTATGAGGTGTATGCCTACAGATGGCAGGGAAGCTAGCACACCGCACGATTTTAGTGCAGTGCTCAGAAACGGAGCTACTGGAAAGCCAGGGAGTTCCCTCATCCTAAGAATATTCATGGGACTGAATACAGCGATTATGGAAAAGACAGACACTGACACAGGCCCTTCTCCAAAGATCAAACGAGGTTCAAACAGATTTGTGTTAGATTCCCTTGGCAGTTTTTGTCTTTGGATCTCTCCAGCTGATAACCTCACTAGCTGCCAGGAGAAACTAAAGCCATGCCCTGAAGGACAGGAAGTTACAGCAGGGCAATGAACAGAGCAACTAAAGCCATGCCCTGAAGGACAGAAAGTTACAGCAGGGCACTGAACAGAGCAAGATATGAGAGAAGCTAAGGGAGTTCAGAAACTCAGCCAGAAAACCACAGTGATCTGCTTTTGGCTCTATTTTTTTTTTTTTTCCTGAAAGCAAGAGCAAGACTGTCACATAGCAGAGATACAACTGTTTGAAAATAGCTCTTTGGCCTCAGAGTCCAGTGCTAGTCCCGTGACAGTGTGAAGACTGAGCCCCTCCAAGCGTGGCAGCCAGTTTGTGCCCACATAAACGGGAACAGCTTTGACTTTGCACAGCTCCACTGCACAGGATGGGGGTTCAGCACTTGCACATGTTCAATCACTGAATTGTGTGGGAGATCCCCACATAGATATATAATAAAATAGTTGCCTCCTGGAAGCTATGATGTAACTAACAACATTACTGTTGAAAAAATATACGTTTTATGTATTTATTATACACTGTTGTGTTGCAAATAACATAAAACCACAACACTGTTAGCCTTGTACTACCTATGAAATATGAAAAATTAAATCCTAAATGGAAAACCACCAGATTCAACAAGACTAAGTACATATCCTACATCTAGGGAAACGTGAAACCCTGATTTTGAGCCTTCTCTGTAAGTAAGCAGTTACTGAGCTAAACAACGCTGATTTCTACAGGATTGCTCATGTGTGCTCTCTCTCACCTATATAATAGGATCATATAGTACCACTGCCAGGTTGTATTTACTCTTCTGGAGGATTAACCTATTTTCTCCTACAAATTGCCTGTCCTAGTTTTGATTTTCCAGGCATGTAATGGTTGGAAATGCTATGAACTGTACAAAGGCAACTGTGTTTAAGAAACTGCTAATAAAAATAAGATACCTTATCCATGTAATTCAAAGTGGCAGGTCCTAGCACAGACCTCTGGATGGGTTTTACATTCGTTCTGTGGAGAGAGGGGACCTAAGCAGCGTGCAATGCACAGACCGCTCCTCTGACTTTTTTCTCCAGAGCAACTTATTGGAAGTAATGGGCTTTCCAACCTGCCTCCAAGACATTACTGGTAATGTAAAGGAATGTTGTGTTCAGAACCTCATTTCAGTGAGTCTGCAACACTACAGCAGCTAGTCAAAGATTCTGGGACAGGCACCCACAAGATAATTTACAGATTCCAGCATTTCTTAATATTATACGAACCAAATTCACCTACTACCCTAATTGCTTCAATCCCCAAAAATCTGTGGGGTAAGACATAAATCAGTGCTGCTGTTCTGAGTCTGGCTGTTTTCCACATGATAAGAACATCTTAAGTGTCTAGGAATTTGAGGTGGTGTTAAATTCCACAGCAAATCAACAGCCAATCCTTTGCCTTTCAGACAGTGAACATTTTAGAAGGTATGCGAAGCAGTACAGACCCACAGATTAAAAGTTATTTTCTGACGTTGCATATTAAATCAGAAAAGATATCATAATTGAGGAACTCAGCATCACTGCCCTAGGGACATCCCATGTCAGGAAATTCAAATAAGGTTATTTCACATTTAATAAGTGTAGCAAAATGGGAAAGAGGGCAAAAATTCAGTAGTCAGTCTGCTAACACTGCACAATCATTCGATATTTTTTTTAAAGGATAATGATTTTATTTGTCAACTACATAGAAAGCTAATCTCATAAACCTGCTTAAAATAGACTTTAGGCTTGATGCACAGGAGCTACATTATTGGTATATTCTAAGCAGTGTACACGTTTTCATCAGTCTGTTTTGAATGTCTCAAAGAACAGAGACATTCACAGAATAGATAGCCACTTGCCTGTAGCTATCTAGAAGTAATTACATACTAAAATCAAGAAGCAGCTAATTTGTCTTCAGATTGGAAAGCAAATGGAATTATTTGTGAAACAGAAAACTATTCTAGTGTGGAAAACTCTATAATAAAACCATACAGTATTTGTAGAGAAAAAAAAATAGCACAATTTCTTACAGTAATTTCCTTTGATTATGAATCAGACCACTAAAATATTACTCGTGTGAGGAGCGCCTAAGTGGCCAAAAATGTTCTTTAGCCTTCTCATAGGAGAACTGCTCTATGGCAGGGGGGATAAAATTTAATCTAGCCTTGTTTCACTAGAAACCAAGTGTTTACACCTTATTCTCTATTCACATGAAGTATGTTGAATATTCTTACTGGATTCCCTCTCTGGCTCTCACAACCTGAACTTCAGGGCTTGCAGGGAGCCTATGGATTTGGGCTGATGACAACTACTCTTCTTCAGTGTGCTATACATGGCAATTATTATATCCATGTAAAGTATCCTAATTAACATGCAGATACATCCATATCAACGTTTTTAGCTTGGTGGGATAACTGGGAAAATGATCCTCTAAATCTTCAGTGGCTGCAGGTGACATTACTCCTCACTTCCCACATGACAAGGAGGGTCATTCTGCAGTCTGGTTTGGCACTGAGAACAGATCTGACCTCTCCTTACAAGTTCTAATTTTGGCTGTATTTTCATATAACCCTGTATTTACTTTAGCATACACGAGAAGACTTTTAGAAACGCTTCTTCTGAGAGAATGACATTTTTCCCCATATAATAATTAATGGCACTTGGACAAGGATGTGGGAATTGATTCCAAATCACCTAAGGGCCTAACTCTGCAAACACTAATGCATATGCTTAATTTAATGTAGATGAGTAATAGCTGAGATTCCTCATGCATTCTGTTTAAAGCATAAGCTTAATTACCATTAGGACTACAACCTGCACTGAAAATGGAGAAAAAACCTCCACACATTGTGTTAGTCACCTAAGAAAGCCCTCAAAACTGTAAGCCAGGTTTCTCTCTTATTTCTACTCTTACTGAAAATGAAAACTGGTTAGCCCCAGTTTTTAAAACCTCCCGAAGGTTTTACTGCTGTGAACTTACCTCAGGAGTCGGAGCTCTGCAAGGAGGGTGGGGTTTTGTTGTGCCTTCTCCGGTGTGGGCTGAGACGCTTGCTCATGTTCAAGTCGCAGCCTCTGGATCTCCTGCAGGATTTCTCTTGGGGAGGAGAACAAGCAGAAGACTACAAGTCAGTTATTTTTCACAAAACCAGTTCACTGGACATTGCAAGAGGAGAAAAAGCGTGACTACGTAGCTCTTCATCAACGTGGATATATGACCAGGCTTCAACCAACAAAGGAAGCTCTCAGCACTGGGACAGGTCTCTGGAGACTTTAAATAAACTTTTACGATTTTCACCATAAAGAGTAACAATTCTTCAAGACCCCTAAAAGTCAGATGTAGATGTGAAATAGCAATATGCTTAAATTGCTCCCTTCTACTTCTTGCCCATGAATGTTTCAAGATCTCACGAACTTCACAAAACCAAAAATAGTATCTGGCTCCTCTTGAGTATCAGAGAAAACCTTTTGCACTTAAGAGAACACATTTAGTGTAAGCAGAGATCTGAGAATGGCCAGCAACTCATGGAGAAGCCCTTTACTTGGACTTGTTATGTCTGGCTTGCCAGCCCTGGGGTGCTGTCAAAAGGCTAACACGAAGCTTCGCAGCAGAAGGCTGAAACCTTTGTGGATTCTTTCTCTTCTTCATAACACACCGGATAGCAGACAGTCAGCAGGCAGCCTCGAACCACGAAAGAGAAATCGAGACTGGAGCTGGTGGCTCATTACACGGTGACAGAAGGCAGTGCAGAGTTCGGAATAGGAAACCATCTGGTCTGGGCTGGCCTGTGTGTTACAGTCCGGCAGTAAAAGCAGAGCTCTGCTGCCATCCGTTTCATGGCACCAGGTAGCCTGATACCCAGGGCCAGAGCCTCTGCTGCTAACAAACGGGCGTCACTCCTTCTTGGGGCTGGATGGTCTATTTCTCCTCAACACTATTTTCAGTCTCAGTCACGTTTGCACCCAGAGTCTCATTTGATCAGCAGCCGAACTTGCTGCCAACCTTCCTGCAAACCTTTCCCAGGCAGACTGTTTTCTGGAAAGCTTTAATCATCTTTTTCACAAATAAAAGCAGGGGAGCATAACATCACCAGTGTGACTGATCCTTTTATCATTTCATGGTTATTGTGCTACAGAGGATCCAACTCAAAGTTAATCTGGTTTTGAAACAGGACAGGCTTTTTTTTTTTTTTTAAACTCAACAAACAACAGCTGCAAACATAATCAATGGTTATATCATGTCATTGAACAGTACGCTCATTAATGCACAGGGTGGCTGTGGATTTTAAAGCCTTTGTCATATTCTGTGGACCTTTATGCCCTGTACCTTTTGCAGGGGGAGGCATATGTGCATATATTATCACACTGCTTAGAAGTAGGTAGCAAAAAATATAGGTGGTAAAATAAACAAACACACACAATATATGGGACTGGACAAACCCAGGTACTGTGTGGATGCTTACCGGTTTTTATTTTCAAGCTCTGCAATCAGCTGCCTTTGTTGCTTGTTTGCGTCAATGGTGAAGGAGATATCTGATGCCCCTCTCTGCTGACCCGGCTGCTGTTGTGAAAGAGAACGCTGCATTGAAGGAGGAGTAGTTAACATGCACCCATGAGTTTAACACAGCTGTGTGAAATCTGCCTGAAGAAAATGCAGTACAGGCTTGCCAACACTGAAAAATGAGCATCCACGTCATGCCCATACCAGTATAGGTCCAGTGCTAGTAAAGGCAGGGTAAGCGCTACAGTAAATAAGACTCAGTGTTTACCATCCTGTCTGTTCATTGCTTTGAGGAGCTTCCTCTCCAATTGTAAAAGGCAATGCCACTGCTGCAGGCAGTTGCTGTAATATGGTTCTTAATTTTGATACTACAGACAAGAGGAATACACTGCAGAAAAAACAGCACTCCTCTCCAAAAAGAAGAGGATGTGTTTCCAGTGCAGTGATGTTTCTTTCTCTTGAAAGTATGGTTTTACTTTCAGTCTGACAGCTCTACTCAAGTTTTCAGTGCCCCATTTGGCCAAGTTTTCCTGTATGCTCTGGTGATACTTCAGAAAAGCTCTTTCCCCAGTACTTCAGGTAGGGCAGAACCCTTTTTCTCCAATAAAATTAAGTGCTAATTAAGGTACTTCTTACCAAAGTAGGCAGCAATCCCTACAGCTTCAGTGGACTATGCTCATTTTTCATGTTCATCACCAATAATCAAATACTGGTTTGTTTGTTCATGCTCCTGTATTTCAGTATCGTATCAGTGACAATGCAGAGCAAGACATTTATAGTTTCACTATCAGAGATACCCATTTATTTCTAATTCCAAAGAATCATACATCAAAAAATACTCTGCTGAGTTACTGCTGTGATCCCAGTGTTTCTCACCCTAAGAGCCCTGAGAAATGTAACTCTGGAGCTCAATTTTACATGATGCCAGCCACCTCCTCCAGGAGATGGCACCTTGCAGGACTGGACCCTCAGAAAAGATGAAGATCCAACTCACTGCTAACCTTTGTCAGCACTGTCTGTGGGGAAAGGACAGTACGTTATGCCTGTAGCCATTTCCTAATTTTTCTGCCACAGGCATACTTTTCCATTAACAGTCCAACCACAGGGAAGCGGAGGAGTGCAGGAAGAAGAGAAACTGGTACACGCTGGTGGACGTCAAGACTGATACAGAGAGATCCAGGATCTTTATCCTGAACGTCCAGTGTTATTAATACATTCTGTTCCTTAAAAAACAGGATGACCATCAGCAAAACTTTTAAAACTTCCACTGTGCTCCTAATGGGGTGCCTCTCTCATGCTTGGACAGATTTCTGTATACAGAAACCTTCTTTTTTCCTTCTGTCTCCTTTGTTCAAAGAGCACAGATGGACAGCAAAGAGAAATTCAGATATTTTCCTTCAAACCAGCTCTACTTAAAAGCTACTTAAATATTTTTTCCCAAGTTTCTGCCGTATCACAGACAGGTTTTATATAACTGATTTCTACCAGCTTCTACCCGGTGACATTATTCAAGAAACCTTGCTCCCATGAAGAATTACTATCCTTTAGAAACAGGACCATCACCTACATGTTGCCTTAACTTTGAAACATGGGGTCACAGATCTGGAAGGGATTGATTTGGTCTGGGCTGGCAGACCAGGAGCACCCTTGCACCCCACTCTTCCCCTGCACCTGCAGGTAGTGTGAAATGCTCCAGGAGAGACGGCTGCCCGGGCTGGCAGATCCATCTTCACTGCCTTCACTTGGCACGAACGGGACGCGGTATTTTTACACAAAGAGCGGTGCCTGATTTCACCCTTTCAATTGACCTTGCAGTGTAAATCTCAGTGTGAAAATATGCTTCCGGGCACTCTGGACTGGCCACTTTTCACTTAACCATCATTTATGGTCCCTTGTTCTATCAAATGTGCTGAGATGGAAAAAAAGGTAACTAGGCTGACCTTATTTGTGCCACTTAAGATTTTATATACTTCAATTAGGTTCTTGCTTCAGTCTCTCTTACTCCTGCACAGAGTTGGTGAGGTTTTAGCCTGTCATCACCTTCTATCTTGGGATACATAGAGCAGAATAATCACTGCTCTGAAATGAAAATGGGAGCCAGGGCTAATGCAGAGGGTCATTACAGTCATCCTGCCGAAGATCATTCTTTAAAATCCTCAGCACTTAGGGCCCTAGTGGCCATGATATTTGAACTAAAGAGTAAAATGCATTCACCACCCCATTTTTTCACTGCAGTAAATCATTAACCTTTAACCAAAGCTAGTCCAGACAACATTTTCTAGTCTTTCCTGAGTTCAAGATGTCAGATTCCCTTTGCTGTAACTGTTTAAATACCACTGTATTAGTTTATAGATTATATGCATTAGTATGTGGATTCTTTAGTTTAAATAGGCTGTGTAAAAGTGTTATTGCTAAAGCATAACAGCATCTGATGAAGAGGACAGGGAAAAATGATCCATTAATCATTAAGACTGTCAGATGTAATTTCCCTGATCCTGCCAAGCCCCTGGAACACGACAGAAGGAAAGTACCTTCCTTTAATTAGAACACTTACTGATGAAGAAGTTTCTGCTGCCAGCCTTGCTGCATACCTGGCGATCAGCTTATGTTCTTCATCCAGGCGACTTGCACTGTCGAGCACGCTGCTCAGGGTTTGGGGGGGAAGGGGGAAAAGACAAGTTAATACACAGCAAAAATGGCCCTTGCTCTGTCACGCTGTCCACTCACACACCCTCATCACAGAATTTAGAAGCAAAATGTCACCAAGTTAACAACGGCAGATGTTAATTGAGCAAAGGGGAGAAGTGGGAGGGTAATTTCCCTGGAAGGATCAGCTCTAGGGGCTAGGTAGCACCTTCCCTCAGGGGGAAACAGCAGCGATCTGCAAGCTCTGGCCAGGGCGCTGCAAGATGCAACTTGCAAACTACTCTGCCCAAAGAGGGTTGGGAGGAGGTTAGGACCACCAGTCAGCATGTTTTTACTCCTCGGCTTTGTCGTCTCACCTAGAAGAGCGATTACTTTTTCGACAATGGATTAGTGGGAAGCTCAGTGCTTGCTGAGGTCAATTTTAGAAGCTTTGACAGATTTGCAATGGAAACCACTATTTAGGACAGTTTTGCAGGGCACTTGCCAAGACCTCATGGACCACAGTTTGGAACCGCTGATCTACGAATTTATAATCAGATTCTTTTATTCTTGGTTTCTTTATGTTTAGGAGTAAAATTTCACAGAACCACATAATGGTGCACCGCTGATCCCAGACTTGGATTGACTTTAACCTGGAGCCAAGTCCTGCTGCCAGGTGCTAGTGCACCTACTATAAAAAGTGTCTGTTTTGGCCACATGCACAGCATCTCCACAAAAATTACTCAGAAAGTATAAGAACTTACTGCAAATGCGCTGAATTCCTTTAAAATATTGCATTTTATTACTTTCTTTTATCCTAACAATATCAAAGGCAAATATTTCTCTCATGCAAATCCCTTGCCAGCTGTTTTTATTCTAAATGGAGGCTATTATTTAGTCAGATAAGCAGAAAAAAGGTAATACAGTGGGAACCTTTACTATTTCTAAATATTTAGAAGTTTGCAGAGAACCACCAAAACTAATAGACAGAAAATGAAATGTGAAGAGGACTTAGTTGACCCTGGATAATCCCAGGATTTGGAATCCTGTATTGCAGTATTTTTGGTATATACAAAAGACAAACGCCCCTAAGAAAAGGTGAGAAGACTGCTTTGCTGCGTGAAAAACATGAAAGCCTGCAGACCAGTCCAGACAGAGGTAAGTCTGACCTCTTTTCTTATGCCTTGGCAACTCCCAGAAGTTTTGGCTGATGGGAGACAGGCACCCACCTCTCTAGCCCCAGGCTCTTCAGGACAAGCAACCGGTTGCTGGCAACCGAGCTTCAAGTTTTAAAAGACTTTGGGCATGGACACCTTAGTCTAATGTTTGCCAGAAATTCTATCTTGAACTTGAAGAGCCTTCCAGATGAACATGGCACTTGTGCAAAAAGTTCTGCTTTTGAAGAACCAGTGTTTTCAAACGGAAAAGGAACTATTTCTGTAAAAATTCTCAGTGAGTTCACATCCCCAGGTACCAACAATGTGCATCTTTTGCTGGCTTGCTTAAGTTCACAGAGGTTTAGAAGTTATGTTTGAAAGATGAGTAGCGGTTGATATTCATTGATCATTAAACTAAAGCTGAGAGTCACGTGGATTTGTTATGGCTTGCTGAGGTAAGGGGAAAAGAGACAAACATCATATTTTTTTGTCATTCTGACAATAAGCTGGGAGACCCCAAACATGAAATGCAGAAAACGAGTAAAGCTACGAAAGGTCAGACCCAGAAGCGTTCTGTGTAAGCTAAGCTTGTGCGGCAGAGCACACACAAGACCTCTCGTGGTAGATGAACACTGACTTGTTTTGGTTTTGGTTATGTTTAATTTATTTTGTTATATACCTAGCCTAATTCTATGCTTACTCAGATTCCTGTGGGATAAGTGATTTACTTTCTGAAAAGACCCAAGCCAAGGGCCATTTTTCTAAATTTATGCAATTCTGCTTCTTACATACTCATGCCTACTGTCCTGATATGTCATCCAGAGAAAGAAGGGGGAAACAACTCTTACTGACACATAAAATAACGCAGACCAGGTAATAAGGGTTACTTTCATGACAGTATAATTAATTTTTAATTTTTCCATAATGACTATTCTAACAGATGGCTATGAAAACAGCAAGTATTCGGCATCAGTTTTCCTTTTTCCAGCAATGTGCAACCACCTTATCCATCCTGGAAAAATAATGGATTATGGTTCCACTTGTTGGCATAACACAATCTGCAACATAGTCCTAAGATGCGAGTTAACCCTGAGATAATGACTTTACTGTGCAAACCAAGCCACTGCAGCTTTTTCATTCTTGCTATTTAACTTCTTTGCTATTTAATGTCTTTGATATATATATTTATGTGTAGGTGGATGTCATAAAATAGATGTAGCAGCACAGCAAATTTGATCTATGAATGCCACAAATCACTGGCCCCAAAGCTCTGTAAATTAAATTTCAATGTCTGAGATTAATTTAATTCTGGAATTTACCTATTCTGTGTGATCACTAAGCACAGGCGTACGCACAGCAGCATTTGCCTTGACTGCCAAGACTTTTACATCTCAGAGTTCTGATTTACCATAATTCACTTCTGTTCTACTTCAGAAACTTCACAGACAATGATGCAGTGAATACATGCAAGATTTAAAATATTATGGATATGTGTGCAGAATTTGGGACCCTCAAGAGAACAATTCAGGCATCCTTTTGAAAGAAAGCGACCATTTTGCATACAAATATCCTGCTCCTAAGCTGCCTTTTCTAAAAAAGTTAAACACTTTTAACACTGCTTCTCCATTAGTGATCATTTCTTTGAAGACTTTCTAATTATCAGCAATAATTGGTCTGGCAGAATTATTACCATTCAGATGTAGAGTGAATATCCAACATTATCACCTGTACAACAGGACTTCTTTTTTTAGGCTTCAACTGATCTGTGTTGTATCTTATGGTCTTAAGAAGATCCGTTAAAAAGGGATCTCAAAACTGCAGGAAAATGTTGAAAAAAGATGATAGCCTGTGAACAAAAGGGTGACACTGGAGGATCTTTGCTATTTCTCAGGCTTAAGATGTGTCAAATCAGCCTGCTCTGCAGTAGGCACCTGCAATAGGTGACACAGATGTCCCCTGATGGTCTTAAAATTATGTCACCACTGGCTAGAAAAGTTCCAGAAATGACAATCTCTTGTGAAATTGTTGCAGTAGAGATATCAATGTGATCTTCATGACGTGCTCTTACTCTACAAACCTTCGCTTAGTAAGTAATTTACTACAGAAATACTGACAAATTAAAGGGTAGATTTCTAAGCCTCAAGGCTATAAGAACAGTGTCCTAAAAGCAACCCACCAAATATATTCTGAAGATTGTTTATCTGTGACACTTTCAAAACTGTCCTGGTTTTAAGGCACTTTAAACTGAGACACATCACGTGAACCCTCTGCTATTGCTGATCTGCCATCTACCTCAGAATCACCCAGATTTTACCGTCACAATGTTAATAACACCCAGGTATGTGGGTGTAATTATACAAACTAACTCTGTTCAAAGGAGCCAAGTGTCTATACATTTCCTCTGTAATCAGCGACATTTCCTCTGTAATCAGTGGGTCTCTGAGTGTTTTTCCTCTTTCAAAGGAAGATTCGACCAGCCTTCCTACCTAGAGTCAGTTGCTGTGCACACACCCCTAATAAACATTTTTGAAAATACCATAGAATAGCACAGCACATTTATAGTACAGAAATATGACTCACCACAGTACTACACAGTATCACACAAAACAATCAGAAACTAACTTTCTATGGAACAAAAATAACCTCCTACTGACAATATATTTTATCTTATTTTCTTCTGCACCTGAGAAGACTGAAATAATATTAATATTCAAAACTAGGTAAAGTCTCTTAATTTCTATGAACAAAAAGGAAAACTACTTGCAGTTAAAAGTTTGGTTTTTTTTTTTTTTTTTAGAATCAGACACTAAAGATGAACTAAATTAAATACCAAGTATTGGTTTTACATGCTAAAACACATTTTACAATTAATCTAACCAAAAATCTGGCTAAGGGATACTTCGTCTACCCGTACAGTTACTATAAATAATGAATTGTCTTTCTCTTGTTTCTTAATTTGCCCTAGAGTAAGGGATTCTAAAAAACCCACTAGTAGCTTATTAGCCTATGAGGGATGGAAATGAAAACTTGCACTTCTAGTTGCAGTATCAAACAACTGCAGATGAAAAATAAAGATAAGGAGTGAAAACTAATTAAATTAATTTCATGCACATCCCTCCCCCCCAAATATAAATACTAGCTACGCTTAAAACAGTAAAAAAAAAAAAGTATACTGGATTGATCATTAGCTGCTATAAATTACCCTGACTCAGTATCGAAAAAAAACCACCTTGTTTTGTTCTGAAATGCTATTACATAGCTCTTAAGATAGTTTTACGTATTATGTTCATGAAGTGTTTCCCTAGGTTTTTCTTGCAGATGAAAGTCCAGCTACAACCATTCCTCTTTTCATCTCCGGGTGCCAGCAGCACCTGAGAACACGTGACGGCAGGTACGGGTATGTACAGGCAGCATTTTCAGGCAGACACACAGCTGAGCTGATGCTGCAGCCTCCCCTCAATCACAAGCTACCCCATTATGGTTAACGACATGCTTCAATCAAGTTACCAAATCTTATGGAGCTGTAGGGTGAAATAACTTGAACTCAGCATCATCCTAACACCCCTGTGTGGGTTTTGAGCAAACTGCCTCCAGCCACTTTGCGGTACAGGCAGGAGTTGTTCACCTTTGTCCAAAGATGCCACCCAAGATGGAGCAGCTGAGCCTCCAGCAGAGGCTTCCCCTACCTCTCCTGGAAACTGCCTTCACACAGGAGCTTCGGGATGGCAACGCTTTGCTTGTTCTTCTTGTCCTTACCAAAATATAACCCCTCACTTCCTTTATGGCTTCCCTCAATGCAGCAAAGCACGAAGTGGCAACGCAGCATGGTTTGACACATGACTAAGACTGCTGTCCCTCTC